AATGGAGATGGAATGGACATACGCTGATGACATTCGCGTGCCAGGCGCCATGAGTGGTACACAACTGGGAAAAATGAGTTGGGCGTGAGTCTGAGGGTGACATGGAGATCGTGTAAAGAGGAAATCAGAAACTATGGGGGTAATTGTACGGTCAGGTAAAGAGAACTTCAGAGAACAAGACAAAATGGAGAAGTGCTGTTCACGTCGTATGTCCCACTCGGAACTTAAGGGAATAATGATAATAATATTATTATCTGTAAACTTTTGGTTGAAAATTGATGAATGAAGTGTTGCATCAAATGAGATACACTTAAAATTGTGTGTGTGCGTGTGTGTACACAATAACAGTACACCTTATCTCTGAGCTCAGAGAACACAACCACATCAAAAAACATAGCGGGAAATTGTAATTATGAAGACTTATTCTAGTAATTTAAGAAAATCAAACAGAACGGAATGACCATAGTGCAGAAATCATCGCTGCTTCACACAGTTCTTCAATTTTACACAATTAGTGATGAATATAGTATGCAGCATCCAACAAACGGTAACACCTTGGTCGTGGTGGTGGTGCGGGGTAAAATGGACAGTTGACGGTCATTCTGGTGTACGTAACCGGACCTGCCGCTCTTTGGTCAACGCGTTCCGATCCTACTCCGCCTACTGAGATATCCCACTGACCCTTTTACACGATAAATGTGGCTGACCGCCTGATTTCCAACTGCATTAAAATCAAAGTAGTTGTTGAATCATATCGAACAGAGACTACAACACACACAAACACACAACCACAATAATAGTTACAATCACAGTTGTAGAAGTCTGGCTCATTGGCTTGAAAGGGACTCAACACCTCCAGGCAACAATAGATACAAGATTCACATAGTCTACTTCGGCCCAGGGTTCCTCACAAACACACACACACACGCAAGCACACACGTAAATATGTAACCTGTAGTCTACCTAGTATATGAGAAATCTAATCCAGGTAACCGAGTTTTAACCAATTATAACTAGTAATAATTATATCAGCTGATCAACAACCACCATGACGAAAAGGTTATTGTTTCAAGCAATAATAGAAGTAATAATAATGTACACGTAATCAGTATGGTTAATTCTAATGTACATCTGTATATACCGTAATGTTGAATGAATGAATGTATTTCATCACATTTTTTGCGCGCTTTCTCTCTCTCTCTGTGAACATAAACAATCAATAGCATTTTTAAGTAAACAAAATATTTCAACTATATATACACACACACACCATTCTTTTAATTATTCAATTTATGTATGTATCATCAATAGTGTGTTGTATTTCCTAGAGAATATTCATAAATTATATATAATTTTCAAATATTGATTTTTTTTTGGTAGGGATTTTGTTCCTTTGATTTGATTGGTTGAAGGATTTCATCTCATGAACACTGACATCAATTAGAGAATTACCATTGGAAAACCAGCCATAGGGAGTACTGGATAGGTTGAAGGTGTGAGGCGGTGACTCATCGAAGAAGACATTGTGAAGTGGTCGTGTTATGTCATGAATTGGCAGAAGTCAGAATTCATGGACTGGGCATTTGGATTGGTTGGGTGCCAGTGGCTCACCTTGTAACCAGAAGGTCCTGGGTTCGAACCCCCAATATGGTGGGTGAGTACTGAAGATGAAGAGTCCCAAACTAGACTGACGAAACAGCTGGCTGTCCAGTACTTCCTACAGGTTTTCCAATGGTTCTCTAACTGACGTCAGCTCATTAGATAAAATCCTCCAAATAATTATGATTTCAACTCAGTAGGTATATAATCATATTGCGAGGATGTGTTAAAAATGAAAAAACAATTTGATTTGATTTTTTTTATTTTGATGACTTAATTTTGTTTCTTTGCCTGTTCTTTAATTGCTTATAATTCTTGTATTCATTTAGAACTCTTAAGTAATTTCGTATTATCTACTTTGTTCCTATGTGCATCCTGAGTAAAACTCACTCATCAAACTATTAATATTATTACATAACTTCTTTTTTAACAACTGTTTGTGACAACTCATCACCTTTGTTACTACCCTAATTTCATTAACACCTAATTTTTTCGACTGATTTTGTATTACGTAACTCCAACAACCAATCTTCACCTCTTTAGTTAAAATAACCATAACCAGTTGTCTATTTTTGTTTGATAAACTTATTGTACACATACATACAAAATAACTAGTATATATATTTGCGATTGTACGGCTAAGAAAATGAATTTGCCGCTGAAAAGGGACTCTTCGCTGATCTACGTGTTTTCTGTTTTCATTAATGTCTGGATGAGGATTATACATGAATTAAAAACAACATAAACCGCTTTCAATGATGAATTTATTTTTCAAAATTTCTTTGACTAAGGGGTGTTCCGAGTGGTTCCAAATATAGGAATTATAAAGCTTTGAATTTTCAGTTTTTTCATCTTTTCTAGGGCTTACCACCACCACCACCACCACCGGAGAGTAAAACTAGGCCAGGTTTAGAAATTGAGTCGACTGGAAATCAAATCTAGTAGTGCACATGTGTGTGGTATTTCAGTGAACCACCACCGACGCAGACAGATTTCAGGTTTTTTTCAACAAGGTGACAGCTCTCTGATGGCTAATCAGCTGCACTGATACAATAAAGTAATAAAGTCTTACAGAATTTAAAATATACTCTGATGTGATCAATGAAACTTGATGGATGTAGAAAAAATTTAGAGATGGATTGGAGACACACTCTTGAAGGGACGCTTGAGTGACAACATCGCATCACCCGCTTGACCCATGGAGTAGAACCGGAATGGGAAGCGACGCGTTGTTGGGCGTCCAATGGTGACATAGAGGAGGAGGAGGAGAGATTGTGTGAGGGGAAAATGGAGATCTGTTTTTGAAGCCCTGTGGACCACTCGGAACTCAAGGGAATATTAATGATAATAATATTTGCCTATCTACAGACAGTGATGATATGCGCTAATAATGTTAACTTGTCTACTTTCATTTTTTTGTATTCCTTTACGTTCCTAGTGGAACATAGGGCGGCTTCAAGCTAGAGGCTTGAAGTTTCAGTAGCAGTGAGATTTATTTTTACGGGATTAGCGGGGTAAAGGAGTGCGTCGGCGGCCGGGAGTCGAACCCCAAACCACATGAGCGGCGTGGTTGGCGAGCATTCTACCGCTGTGCCACCGATGCACGTCCAGCTTCATAGCAAGTTATAAAGTATGCAGACCGAATCTCTATCTATTCATCACCTGGTGGCCTGTGAATTGATTTCCCGGAATCGGTGAACAGTAAGTCAAATATGCAACATTTCTTAAAAAGCCTACTACAATTGGAGAGAATCCATAAATATATAATTTCTTCTTTGCGTTCCAAACGGAAAATGGGAGGCTTCAAGCTTGAGCATTGAGGTTTCTGTAGCTGTGGTGTCTTTTTTTACGGGGTGAGATTATCATAGCCTCAAAACCAACCCTCTTTCTTTATTAATACCAGTAAAGCCAGATTTAGAAGTGCGCGTTGGCTATGGATCAAACCTCGTAGCACATGTGCGGTTGACGAGGATTCTATCATCGACATATATATATATATATATATATATATATATTTAGTTAGCTATACACGCCCACTTAGTACATTGCTCTCTAGGGAAATAACTGTCTTTTCTCAGAAATATATATATATGTACACATGTATAGTAATACAACGGATTGATTTCTACAGGACAATTGATTATAGTATAATTTTTGTTAATCGAAAACAAATTGTTTTGTGTTGTTCTTGTTATATTCCTTTTACTTATATTCATACCTGTGAAATATATACATACATGCATGGTGTTCAAACATTTAAATCATTTACAATTCATCGTGAGCTGATAACAGTTAGAGAACCATTGGAAGACCTGTAGGGAGTACTGAACAGTCAGTGGTTTCGTCCTAGTTTGGGACTCCTCATCGGTATACACCCACAGCCAGGGTTCGAACCCAGGCGAGCTCGTAGACCATTAAGCCACTGGGACTCGATCAGCTCATGATGAAATCCTCCAGTCAATTAAACAAAATCCCTACACAATACAATACTTGAATATTTACAATTCAGTCACTCATATCCCATAAAAATGTATGTATGGAAGGCATTATATTGCAACCCAGCAATTATTCAGAATTATCATAGTCACTAAAGTTTAACGGTAGAATTCCACAAAATGTAGGTCTCCCCCTATAACTAACCCTGTGCTATTACAACTTAAAAAATGAAATGTTACTTAATAACCACTTACGACTGCATGCAGTATTCGACAAAGAGCCATATCTTTAGATTCCTTTAAGTCCCTAGTGGAACATAGGGCGGCTTCAAGCCTCCGGCTTGAAGATTCGGTAACAGTAGTGTTCATTTTTACAAGATGAGGTTGATAGCCTGAAGCCCAACCTTCCCTCTTTACCTGTCTTATTACTGGCCTGGAGAGGTAAAGGAGTGCGTCGGTGGCAGGGGATCGAACTACGAACCACATGCGGGGCGTGGTCGGCTAACATTCTACCGCTGTGCCATCGACGCCATACCTATTGTATTTAAGAGCTGCTAGTGAGATACTACGTGCCTGCTCAAACCTTGATCCGTAGGTGGAGCAAGCGTGATCCACTTTTGTTTAGAAGTCGACAGCCTAGACACCAATGAGCCAAGGTTCCACACTCACAGATGTTATTATGACTCATATAAATAAGATGGAAGCCAAAATGCAAACAGCTTCAAAAGTACAGTGAATCCCAAAGATTGAAACTCCTGAACACAACTAGTTAGTTGGTTGTCTGTTGCTAGCGGAATAACATGTGTGATCGAAAATAGATTACAATGTTCTATGTTGAAGGGATTGTTAGCTGCACAAAAAGTTTAGGAGTACGTTTGTATACTAAGGAGAATATGCATATATATATACAATACTCAAGAAATAAATGAGATAACTGTCTAGTTATATTTATTTATTTAAGCTTACCTGTAACCGTAAGCGTGGAAACCGGAATCTCCGTTTGTGTTGTACAAAAAATTGCATCAAAAAAGCCATACGATACTTTTCAATATCGGCGACATCCACGGTTGGATCTTCTAGTTTTAATCCAGACATTGTCTTTAAAAGATAAAAAATTAAACATACATAGGTATAATAAAAATAAACAAGTTGCTTCATGAATTAAAATCAATTAAAGCGAAAATCATATACGAGATAATCGGATATGCACAATATCAGAACCAGTAAAAGCTCTATGACTGACCAACTGAAGTTTCCGAAAAGATTGGTCGTGTAGACAACAAACCAACTTAGTAATTATGTAGGCTAAAAGTACTACAGCGGGTGTTAACGTAATACTTACTTATTCAAGACAAAATATGTAGAAAGGATGACAACTTCTCATTAAATGATCTACAATTGAATGAATAACTATGCTACTGAACTAAATCTACTTAATATCCATCAAGCAGGCATGTTAGGACATCTGCGTGTACGGAGAAATTTACATAAGTGAGCAAGGATTAACGATAAATGTAGGCCGTTTCAACAGATGTGTGGGTGTGCAGTAAACTGAGCGTTAAGCGGTGGTTGGTAGGTGAGGACAATTTAACTCGATGATCACATTCATTGTGCGCTCTTCTATATCAGATATCGTGAAGATCTAGGTGAATTGCTGAATCATTAAACCACAGTCTGGTATCATCTGTGAATACACTTAGAATCGCATGAATAACCCATATGAGGTAAACTATAACAAAGACTGCTGATATGCAAGCTTGGATGGTACCTTGACATACGAATAGAACTGGTGCACTGGGGTAGAGTAGAATCCCAACATAGAAAAATAATTTAATTTGGTAAGAGCACACAATGATAATGCATTATTCACTGATTATGTTTTGAGCACAATTTACTGCATAAAATCATATCAAGGTGTTCACTTATGTAGCTTCCAAACTTTATGTAATTCCATTATTTGTTTTCACCCCTTGATTTTATTGGTAGGAATATTTACCATATCACTGGTATCAATGTGCGTGTGTCTGTTAGGTGCAGAGTCGATGGAAAAAGACAGTGGTCAAGCTCTCCCTCCCTTCGCCTATTTATACTGCTTTTTAGAACTGTAGCTGTCCCAAACTACTTTGATTGTTGAGTTATTTTTTTAGGCTATCCATCTCCCTGGAATTAATCAGTCTACATTTAGCTAAAAATTCAATGTTCTAACAAACTCACTGGATAGTACATCATTTCAGGGAACAGTAAAAATATGAGTAATTGCCTTTTATTGAATGAATTCAGTCGATTAAGGTAAGTGCAATATCTACAGTGGGAACATGTAAGCGTACTTTCGCAGTCAAGTGAAGGTGAAATTTAAAACAATTAGTTCACCTGGTGAAAAGAACTAGATTCATGAGTAGTATACAGTATAAAATATCTAATTCAACACACAAACAGCTGTCACACTTATTTCGGCACAGTACGAACCGCAGGCATCTGTCAATGAAATCCACAACAGTTATTTTAAGCCAGTCACATAGGAAGGTAGACTTCCTGACTGGTTGGGGTCCTCGGGACGGTAAACACCAATGGCTGGAGACAATTGGTGATATGTCTCACAATCCTCGTTCTCAATGACCGGCACAGATGCATCCACTCCTTGTGACTTATAATTTCCAATAAAACTATATTGTTCTTCGATATTACTATTCTTTCTGCCTCTTATATCTCTGTTTACTGTCTCTATTCTGCATTTCTTTTTACTTTATTCTCTTGCTTTGTGTGCTACATAGAGGGAGTATGGCGACTCAAACTGCCTCACATCAGTGCAAAGTTCTACGTTGAAACCAATCAGTCAGCAGGGTAAAAAAAAGCTTGTATGCATTACACCGTTATACAAAAATTCATTGCTTAATGGATGCACATAAAGAAAAATATATCTGATAAATGCTAAGAATTCACTCTCCCATGTCGACCTTAAATTTTCAAATGGCTTAAGAGGCAACTTAGCTGCTAACAGCAGTTGGTAGGTGGTAGAAACGGGTTTTTGAGATTGATCCCATAATGGACATGATCAATTTAGATACTGAAAGCATCATATTCATTCAGTAAATAAGTCTACACACACAAAGAAACCATCTTATAGGAACCCTGATAGACATAAATTGTTATAACACCCTTTACGTAAAGTACAAGACAACCAGTGTCAGTTTTACGATTCATTATTTTTAAAACCAACCAAATTGTATCTGGATACTAAGCGTTCCCTAAACATTCCTAAACATGCAGATACGAAAATGAAATGATTAATGCACCAGGAAACTTCTTAGTGTCAAACAGGTTCAAGTATTTGGGTAATCGAAATATAATGTAATGACAGGAGTCAGGTAACCAAATGCGTACATGATGTCGGTTTAAATACTCAAATCAGTAGTAGTTAGTACTTGTACCTTAACTGCATGCACAATAAAACGAGTATTGTCAGCTTACAAAATACTTACGTACAACAGCCTCAACTAAGACGGAGAACAATGCTTTTAAAGTTTTATAAAACCTCATTGATAACTATAGAGGTGGAAAACACACCCACCCTTTAATTATTAACTAGGATCATATTAGCTAATTCTATAAACATTACAACGAATAACTCCTTAGCATGAACTAGGCTGTTCATATTTATCTCTCACCTCTTAATCATAATCATAAGCAACGAGGATAACGACTAGTTTGCCACGAATACATTCAAGACACAAGAGAAGACACATATCCGCCATAAAGGAAAGAGTGTCTAACGTTATTTCGGTAACAATTTTACGCCATTTTTGCTGTAAACATCCCAAATGATGTAGTCATCTCACGTTTGCATAAGTGTCCACGAAGTTATTATTCAACTCAAAAAGAGTCGTGGACTTCAAATTACATGCAATCTACTAACACTGCAATTTCACCTAAGCAGTAAAAGAATAAACACCGAACAAAGAACCTTTTCAGTGGAAACCGGTGCAAAAGCCTTCAGAATACAAGTCAATCGGTAAATACATTTCCACAACTTTATACGTCTACTCATTAATATCTTACCACTGGAGGCTACTACATTCTGAGGAGAGAATAGTCAGGCAGACCACAGTCGTTGTGACATTACATTTCTAGTTTGCTGAACACTGGGCTTCAACAGTGAAGTACTACTGGACAAAACCAAATGCTCTAAATCGTACGTATATGCCTCACTTATCCACTATATTTACGAATCATTAAGGAAGACAATCAGTATATATTATAATTATATATATTTTTCCTTTACGTTCCCCAGTGGAACATAGGGCTTCAAGCTAATGGCTTGAAGTTTCTGTAGCAGTGTTTATTTTACAGGATGGGGTTGCTAGCCTCATGCCCAACCTTTCCTCTTCACCAGCATTATTTCTGGCTTAGCGAGGTAAAGGAGTACGTCGGCCAGGGATCGAACCCCGGACCATGTGCATGGTTGGCGAGCGTCCTAACCGCTATACCACCGACGCACAAGACAATCAGTAGTTACTACTTTATCACAGATGTTTGAAAATACAGTTTCCAATTACAACTCAGGGTTCCGTAAACACCTAGAGCTAGTACATCTCAAAGAAATTCAAGTCATGTTGGTTTGATAATTATATCCAACAAAGAATAATGAGGTTATGCCGAGTGTTTTGAATTACATACGCTGAGACAAGTCAACCGCAAACTGTCAACAGTAATTTCCGTAGGTAATCTCAGAAGCATTTGTAATTTTGGTGGGCTGACAAGTCGTTTATGGCATCCATGAGAGATTCCAGCTCCTAGTACTCCTATTCGATTTGATTATAAATGTACTAATGAATGAGATCCTGATCAACTTCTACATCTCACGGATTAACTTGCTGTTCCTCAACATGCACACAATATTTCCGTCTTGGATAAGAATGGTGATAATGTGACTCCCTGAGTGTCTTACGCAAAAATATACAAGTATGCTAAAAATGCGACGCCATTTTCAGTGTAGGATGGTGCTGTAGCACTGGTTTGAAGATAGAAAGCGAATTGGTCAGTTTGTCTACCAAATCATTTATTTGGGAAACTGAATGTCATAATAGACTGATTGTTGACAATATCGTAGTATGCAAATTAAAGGGCGAGTTTAACACTTTATAGATTGTAATATCTTCGGATGTATGTGTGATACCTTGCACGCATAGAAAGACATGCATTGTGAAGTAGTTGGTTCTGCCCTACTTAACAGAAAACATTAAAAGTTAGCGGACCCATCCATATGTGTACTCATTCGGTGTTTGCTAAGGCAAGGTTTAGTGATATGAAGCTATGCCTGATGTCAGTTAAGCCAAGGAAGGCAGTTGTGGATCCCAATCAATTAAGACTATTAAGATATGTACTCAGAGACTACTTTTATCATCGAGGTTGGAGAACAGTCGAAGTTAGCCATTACACTGTGATTCCTTTGAAAAGACTTTCCGCAGTCTCATGTTTCGCGGATGAGTAAAGAATGGGAACGACAAATGGATAAGCAAAGGTTATAGATGATAAATCGTTCAGGACAACATGGACTACGTTAGAAGTTGCGCGAAGGTGGATTATTACAGATTCCTAGGTCCCGAGTATAGATCACCCACAGTGCATACGACTCTGTAGTATGATAAACATCAGCAATAAAAGTGTCAGTCTGACAAAATCGCTATACCTAAAGGATGAATCCAGATTAGGTGTACAAAAGTTTGTGAAATGAGTATTAGTCGCCGAACTTTAGGAATGTCACGATAGAATAATTGCCTGAATCCTCATAATTACAAAGGAATAAGCAAGGTCTTTCTGGACAAACCCAAAGTCTCTGTCTATAGACATTGGCCGATAATTTCTCAAGTGTAATCAGAGTCAAACTAGGTGTTAAAATCTAAGTGCAATAATAAACTTAGCAGTACACTTTCAAATAAAATTATAGGAATGCCACACTATCACTAAGAGAATTAAAACGGCAAAAAGTAACCAGACATTTAAAAAAATATATTTCATGGTGGTTTTCAAGAAATAACATAGTAACGTGCATCAAATGAAATGAATTTAAAAAGATTACTCACTTAATTAGGTTTCGC